TTCCCTCTGTCTCTCCTTCTCTCTGTCATCTCTGTCCAGTCGAGGTGGGGTTTGATTGTGAATGGTGGGCAGCTGTTTAGGTAGTGACTGCCGCCTGTCAGGCAGTGGATTCATTAAAAAAAGAGAGTGTGAATGAAGCTCTATGGCATGAGGCTTAGGAAGCTGTTAGTTATTTGGGAAAGCTAGAGCCTTACCTCAGAGTCAGACCGGCTCTGTGCCACGGTTTTCGGGAACACACTCTCACATAGTCCTTTTTGTTGACGTTCTCCAAGAACTTCACATACAAACGCTGGTAGCGCATCTTGGCATCACCAAAGTAACCCAGATACTGAGGGAAAGCACATCAAGACAGAATTACAATACAGTAAAATGTAAGGTAGATGAAATACATTGCCATTACACATGATAAAAGTGGGAATTAATCAAATTTAACTTAGATCTGGGGAATACCTTTAGAGTTCACGCATGAAGAAGAGCAAAGCAATTTTCCCATAAAGATTGGTCCTTTCTACTAAAACAGCTGTTCTCAGACTATACCAACACCAATCGCTAAGTGATTAAACCAGCAATGATGTCTCAGTGGGTTGCATGAGGGACTTTCAACATGAAGGCCGTAGGTCTAGCTTCAGTTGGTCAAGGCCCTAGATAGAACCTTGTATGACATTTTATTATCCAAAAAACAAAAATAGCTACAGATAAACTCCTAGGGATACTCTTGACCTAACAAGACACACTGGCTTACTGCACTGTTTTAAAAACAGTTCACATAAATTTATTCTGGCACTTTTGCAATATATTCACTTAAACATGCAAATAAATTAAGCTAACCAATAAAAACTAGCATGAAGTATTGGATTCAAATTCCAAGACTTCTTAAGTTGCTCTTAATCATCTATGGGCAGGTAGGAGGTCCTCGTTCTACATCTACAACCTTTTCTCTTTTTGCCATTTGAGAGACAGGGTTGGGGTGCCTGAATCGAACCAGGGATATGGTTGTATGTACTTCAACCATTAGGCCTCTGGACACCTCTAATCTAGATCAGACCCACAAAGAGCTACAGTATATACCTGCAGTTTTCTGCCCAGTGTAATTTAACAATGAACCTGTGGGAGTCCTGAGGTAGCTGGAAAACTCACATTACTGGTTGCACAGAACTGCCTTTGACCATCTTTGATCTCTGGGCTGAATTTCTGGAGCAATGCTTTCTGTACTCTCCAGATGGGTGGGGGCTCCCGACCTGTCTGCAAGGCCATCTGGTGACACAAACAAGTACAGTGTATGTCATTAACATTAAGCTGTTTATTCACTATACATGGTTCCTGTGAGCTGTGGGGACACTCACTTTAAGGGTCCCGATGTCTTCAGTTCGAACTACAAACTCGTCCCGTTCACGAAAAATTCCCTCACCACCACTCTCACTGTCCTCCTCTTCACTCTCCCCAGCGATGGCGGCATCAGCCTGCTTCTTTGCCAGGTGGAGGGAGGTAAGACGCTGGGATGTTGGTGCCTCTTCCGGGGTTGGAGGTGATGGTGGCGGAGAGGATGATGAGGAGGGTGAGGAAGAGGAGGATGAAGAGGGGGAATGTGGCCCTGCATCGGGTTCCTGGTCCTGATCAGAGGATGATGGAGGAGGTGTGGTAGACGGAGGCGGTATCGATTGGCTCAGGGGAAGGTTGGAGAGGGGTGAGGATGGGATGGCTGGAGGGGAGGTGGAGGGGGGTGGGGAGGTGCCTGCAGTTGGAGCAGGCGGGTAGGATGACTGCGGCTGCTGCTGCTCAGAGGGAGGATAAGCTGGACTCGCCTCTTCCTCTTCCTGCTGGATTGGTAATGGGGATGGCACAGAGACAGACAGGGGAGGGAGGGGCGAGGGGGAGGAGTAAGTGGGCGGCGAGGGGGAGATGGATGGTGAGGGGGAGGGAAGTGTGGGGCCAAGCAGAGGTCCTGATGGAGAATCTGAAAAAGAGAAATAGAAACTTACATTCTGACAGTTTTTCAGGTCACATGAAATGAAGCTTTATTTTTTTTTACTTTTTCCTGAAGCTGTGATTCTAATTTCCCTGCACTGCTGTTCAAATCTACAGTCCAGACTGAAAGCATTTAGACAGTCTTTCATCTCTTAATGCCCCACATAATTCTTTGTATACTGCTATACTCTATAAACTGAAACTTGGCACATATTATTAAGTCTAGGTTCACTCACTAGATTCATAATTGTTTCAGATGTCACGGTGTGAAACTTATTTCCCACAATGCCTTGAAAAGAGATCCACTCACGTTCACCTTATCTTCTAAGTGATAGTGAGAGTGAAAAAAGTGACAGATGTAAAGCATCACAGCACAAGAATTTAAAATGTCCTTGAGCAGGAGTTAGTGGACAACCGGGGAAAAGCCGAGGTAAACACTAACAACAGAACAAGGGCGTAGGTTTAGTCTCAACATTGGTAGGGACATATAACATTTGCAAGTAATGTGAGCTTTAGATCGTCCCTTCCTTTCAGCAGGTCAAGCAAATTGTAAGGATCTACTATGACTTCACTCCAAATAAAATGTGCATGGGTTTGCTCAAAATTGGTAGGGACATGCCCCTACCATCCATATGTAAAACTACGCCCTTACAGCAGAGACATCTATGAACAGGTTGCCATGTCCACCTACATACTGTATAACTACCTATTATCACATGACTTATGTTCCATTTTTAGGTATGACAGATGAACCAACTCATGACAACTGTAAAGACTTTATTTGCTGATGAAGGACATGAGTGAAGATTATTTTGCCAAACTATTTTGTCCAAAGTCAAGGATGAGCTTTCGCGACATGATATCAGTCTTTTTTTGTATCAGAGACATTAACATTCTTTGTTAAAGATGACTTTTAAAAAAGATAAGTGATAAGTGGCAAACAAATAGCAGAAAACAGATGAACAAATACACACGATAACAGTCAGAAATTCTGACACACCTTCTCATTCGGTTGGGTTTTCTTTTTTTCTATCTTAACCAGCTTCATGAGGCTGTCACCTGGAATGGATTTCAATTTAGTAGCCTATTAGTAGCTCTGTGAAACATTAATTGGTGGAATCTCTTGGTGCATCAATGTGTTTGAGACCATCAATTTTGTTGTGCTAAGGTAGTGTTGGTATACAGCAAATAACTCTACCTGACTACTGTAGTAAACCATATTATGGCAGCACTGTTGGAGAGTAATGAACTACATGTAATTAAACTAGTAGTTTACATTTTGCAGTAGCTTGCTGGTAGTTCAACTGCATTCCTATCTATGTAATGATTCAAGTAGTTAAATGAACTTTTGCCACTTTTTTGTGTAGTTAACTACTAAAACTAAGAAAGACTGCTCATGTGTCAGATTGTTTTATTTAGGACAAGTTTAGGTCCCAGGTAATAAACTCAACTGAAAGGCATTTGTTGCTGGCATGTGACTTTTATTATGCCTCCACATTAGTGACAGTCACAGCCGAAGGCATTATGTTGCTGGGTTGTCTGTCCATCCCTCTGCCCCATTCTTGTGAATGCGATATGTCAGGAACACCTTGAAGGAATGTCTTCAAATTTGTCACCACTGTCCACTTGGACTCAAGGATGAACTGATCAGGTTTTGGGGGTCAAAGATCAAGGTCAGGGACCTCACATCTGTGTGGAGGCACAGAACTGCATAGTAGTAATTCTGGTTTGTATTATATTTTGTTATAATTTAGTGTCATGTTCACTGATTCATTTTACAGCATAGTTTGAACTACTGTTTTTACGTAGCTTTAGTTAACAAAACTAGATTTCTCCCTAGGTTAGCTTTGCTCTAGCTCCAATGTGAAGTACTTGGTAGATTGAAACGTTATGGTTTTAGTGTGACTTCCCAACAGTGTATGGCTCAGTGTACCACTCAACTAAGTAAAGACAAACAGCACTTCATCATTCATTTAAGACCTTAAGCTCAGCGAATCTAGAAAATATTAAGAATTTTGAAAGAATTTTGAAACCATTGAATGAGAAGGTGTCTCCAAATTTCTGACTCCTACTGGACATTACCTTCAACCTTCGGACCTTCCAACATCTGCATTTCAGACATCCTCTCCTCTTCTAGGGTTCCCTGCTGCATATTCTGAGGATCTCTCATTATTTCTTTATTATCTGCAGTCTCCCTTCCTTCCTCCTCCCCTTCTTCCTCTTCTCCTCCTTGCATAGGCTCCCTCTCCTCTGCCTTTTCTCTGTTTGACTGCGGCGACTCCAGGTTTTGTTCTTCATCATGTTGTGCGTGATGCTGAGTGTATGTGAGGGCATCCTCTTTTCCATTCTCCATACTGGGGATGAGAGGGGGCATGGCCGGAAGAGGAGGGCTGAGCGGTGGCTCCTGTGGGGTAGGTGGGGATAGAGTGGGTGGGGCCTTGACCATGGCTGAAGCCATTGCAGCAGCCAGAGAGTGCGGGGTGTCATAGAGGGCAGAGATGGCAGATGAGATGCTCTTCTGTAGGTCCTGGTTCTTACTCACAGAGTCCTCCTCATCAGAGGAGAAGGACGGCAGTGTCTCCAGGTTCCTTTTCAGCTCCTCATCCAGAGGCTTGCAGGGACTCGGGCAGCTGCTCAGAGCCAGGTCTGCCCCTTCACCCTGCCCTTCCTCACTGAATACTCCTGGAGGCTGCTGTGGAGGACTTGGTGGTAGGGGAGGAGAAGGTGAGGACAAGGGCCGGATCCCTCCTTTGAGAGAGGAGCAGGGGTTTAAAGGTTCGTGCTGGCCGCCATCATGTTCCAGTTCAAGGTCTGACTGTTTTTTGCCTGTCTTCAAAAAGTCCAAAAAAGATGCCATGAAGCCAGGTTTGAAGTCGAAAGCCTTCTCATCAGCCTGCAAAAGAGCAGAATCTCATCAGCAGTGAGTGCTGAATGATGTTGTCACTCCGACAGTTAGCTGGATAACTTTGTACACTGCAAAAAAACTGTTTCAGGTGGTGACTTTTGAAAGCAGCTGCCTGCTGCTGCAGGAAATTCAAAAACAGTGAGAGTGAACTACAGCAGTGAAGTTTCCAATGGTAAAACCAAAAAGATACAATAATGATTCTCCATCACAATGTCAGTTTAACAGGCCCTATTTATAAAGTCATAATAATAATAATGACCTTTAAAGAGCCCATGGCATGCTTTTCCTCATTTTTTTGACTTGCGTATCTACAATATTATAACGGTGAATTATCACCTTAAACGTGACTAAAACTCAAAAAATGAGGTGCACGTATGTTCTAGTATATCCATGCAGAAGCAACTCAGTTGATACAAATCTTCCAAACTCTCGTTCGCGACACTTTGTTTCTAATAAAGTAAAGTCTTACATGATAGTTTAAGGATTTCCTTGAATGGTCAAAATCTTCAGGCAGTTGTGCGTTCATGTGACCTTGCCTGACATCTACCAGTGCCACTGTAAAAGTAGAATCTTTCAACTGCATGTGGTTTTGTGGATATATTTTTTCTGCTGTTGCACTGTGACCAGAGGATGTGGAGACAAATACAGGGCCTGAGGTTACTGCATGTCTAAGAATGTTCCTGTACAGTGACTGTCTGTTTTACCTGACCGGGTCTAACCTATGATCAGCTGGCCAGTGAAGACCCTGCAGCGTTTAGTGATCAGCTCATGGATGCTGGATTTCCCTGGAGCACAGTACCTGTTTTGTTTTCACTGCTTGAGGCCAGTGTGTCTGCTGCATGTGATGTGGGTTAACAAACTCTCCTCTCATTTTTAGGAAGAGGTTCTCTGGTCTTATCATTCTGAAATAATTACAAACTATTTGGAGTTATGATGGATGCAAAGCTAATCTAGAGGTACCCAAGATTAAACATTAAATGGCTGGAAATGAGCATATCATTGGCTCTTTAAATGAACTCTAAAATGTCAGTAGAAGCAGTTCAGTAAAACAGTCCCTGAACATTAAGCTATAGGCAATAAAGCAGAACAGACAGGAGGTGGCAGCAATGGTCCTACACTGAAAAATGTAGTAACCGTAGCAACAGCTGCCCTGGTAACAGCTATTGCTCTCCTCTCTCTTTTGTCAGTCAGAAAGAGCTGGCTGTCAGTCAACTATAACCTCCCTCTCTCCAAATCTCAAATCACAAAACATGACTGAAAATTAAACTACTGTGTTTTTTGCACTGGAGACTACACCAGCAAATCATTTTTTATGTTTAATTTTAACACAGGCAAAATGCCAGCATGTTGCACAGGTACTGGCCTAAGTGCTTAACAGTGGTGTGAACAAGGTAGGGAATGTATTACCAGAGGCTGGACTTTGAATAGATGAGGTATGAATTATATATGAAGCTCCTGGCTTTGCTCTTTTTTGTAGAGGGTGTGAAACAACTTACTGAACTGGAGAGTTTCTGCATAGCAGCCCAGGCTTCAGGATTTAGTGGATCATCAGCTTCTTTCTTCCATGTCATCTGTGTTAACATCAGAGAAAGCAGTTTTCAAAACTCAATTTACTGTTAGGTATAAGGCTCTTTTCAGTAAATGAACAATAATAGTATGTAATCCCGTTCAAGATGTCCACAGATACTAGTTATCTTGAAGATTTGATGATCAAGGTTGCATACAATCAGACACATAGATATGATATGAACCTCCTTAAAACTGAGTCAGCACTTTAACCTCACCTCCTGCTTACTGTCAAACTCAGTGTGCTGGGATACTGAGTATTCACAATGAGATGTCTGTTTATATAAGTAATGACTAAACTATATAATCAGTTTAACTTGATGTGAAAACGGAAGATGTCTGTTCACAGTCAACATTAACTAACTGTTAATCATCGTCAACTTCATTAACTGCACTGTTAAGGCAACAATCCATAGCCCTTCACATCTGTAGCTTCTTCTCCAACACATCCTGACATCTGGATATCAGAGATCCACAAACAATAAGATCAGAGAATCCTACATTTACACTATGCAACCACATGGAATGATTGACAAGAAACTTTTCATAACATAAACACCGATTTTTCTAAATGGATATTTTCAGAATTTTCATGCAAACAGAAAACATCAAAGACAACGAGAATAAGAAAATCTGTTTTCTTTTAGAAGTCTAGTAACACATGCACAGTTTTTATTAAGTGTATTAAGTGTTTCTTTAATAAACCTGAAACAAATCTGACTGACAAAAATAACCAACTGACTAAAATGAATAGTTTGACAGGACATAAAAATCTTTTATGTCCTGTCAAACTATTCCTTTCTTTCACATATATGTTCTGAGACACTATCCATATCCAATTTTTTTTTTTTAAAAAGGTGAATTTCAGTGTACAAACACTGGTATTTCTTATTGATTCTAGGGATTACTTTAAACAAAAGGATCTAAATCTCCTTTAGGTAAATACCAGGTTGCCGATTCTGCTCTCCTCAAAACCACCTTTTTGATGAAATAACTGTTCAAATAATTATATTTTAGCCTCAGATTCCTGCTCAAACAATTCTTCATTTTTCTTTCCAAGATTTTGCCTTTCCCTCATGAAAAAGCCACTCCCCCTCAAGCTGTTGTGTATCGTTTGACAGCAAGATGAGAAAACTCTCAGCTTTGGTCACACGTCGCACAGTGCCAGTATACTCCAGTTTGCATGGTAAAATCTGTATTGTATAAGGTACTGGCCATCCTTTCAAACATTTCAAAATCTGAATAGCTGGAACTGAAATGATTACCAAAAAAAAAAAGGTTTACTTTTCCACAACAAAGACAAGTTATGTGTCAGAAAAAAGAACTGAACATTTACACGACAACCCTCTCTGATAAATCTGCCAAAAGTAGATATTGAGTGATTGGCAGCAAATACGGGGATCACCCAACAACAGCCCCAACCAAGAGAGCCTAAAACCCAGCTGTCACACTCTCGATTAGACCAGCTCAAACAGCACCAGTGTGACACAGTGAGCAAAGTGTTCAATCATCTATGTTTGATCAGTTTTGCCAGGTCGCACCAATCTTGTTGTGAAGCTTCTAGTGCGTGCTCTTTACCTCTCCAGCTTTCTCCTGGTGATTCATCATTTTGTTCTGCATCTGGTTCAGTTCATTTCCGCTGATATCCATAGCACTGCTAGGCCCGGGACTCAAGCCCAGAGATGGTGCTGATCCCACTGATCCATCAGACAGAACTGGCTCTGTGCTAGACAGTGAGTCTGTCCTCAACAGGGATTCTGATGGCGGCATGGTGGGAGTGGGCAGTTTGTTCTGACACACACACAGGTTGAATGAATTTAGAAATTCAGCAAGACTTTCACAATAAAGCATGCATCATTTCTTTTGTTGGATTGACTGTAGTATTACTACCTAGGATGTCTAGAACATAAGTCATTGATTAAATTCCCCACGGGCTGGTGTTACAAAAATATTACACTGGTATATAATGCTAAGCATGACTTCTTATGTTCAGTTTTGCTCTTAGTATATATATAATACATACACACCCACACGCACATAGAGAGAGAGAAGTGTCTATAATTCTGTCCTCCCCAGCTATATACATGAGAGGGTCAGAATATTAGGAACATCTCTGAATATAATGTAGTTCAGTATAACACCACCTTTAACTATGATCTCAGTAATAATCACATAATTTAATTTATACATTTATGACAATTTCACCAAAAACTGAAACATTTTGAACTTCATAAACACAAATATTAAGGCAGAAGTGTTCGACTGAATTGCATACAACTGTACAGGTGTACCTAATAAAGTGCCCAGTGAGTGCATATATATTTGTTGCTGTATTTCCCTGATCTAAATTATATGAAGCTCAACACTCAAGACAAATAAAGAAGGAAGTGAATACATTTTCTTTCCCTTCATCACAGAAATGAATGGGGAGTGAATTTTGATGTGAGCACACCCCGAAACATTTGCACCAAAGTAGAGAAACTAGTTTTAGACCTAAAAGCGAGCCTCTGTGCTGCCTAAAATATCTCTGAACCCATCAATTAAAATTTCTGATGCATGTTAGAAACATGGAGATGCCACAATCTGTAGCCTGCTAACAATGTTGTGGAGTTTCAATTAGAGGCAAACAGTTTTTAAAGACAGCAGTAATCACTTCTTTTTTTGCTGTTGCTTCACTTGAATCTATCTGCATCGATGCAGCACTAGAGTGATACCTAATTAGTCATACTTGAGATAACTGTGAACTAGAAAGCTGAAGTCTGCTTGTTAACTGTACTTCCTAACTCCCTAACCTAAAAGCCAACATTACCAGGTAAATTACATAGAAAATGTGACATATGTAATTTGAGTGTCAAAAGGTTAAGTCATCATCAGAGAAATCTGCTCTCAGTGCAAGTAGGAAGTTTATTAAAATCTTACTCTAAACTAGGACTATTTTAAACTCATTCAGACTTTCTATGAGTGACTATGATTCTTGATAAGCATAGGCACAGATTTCCCCCTCTGTTGTCTCCATTTACCTTGATAGGTCTCACTGGGTCTTGTTGCAGCTGCTGAGATGGTTGCTGTTGTTGTTGTTGATGATGATGCTGTTGATGTTGCTGATGATGTGGTTGGTGGTGAGGACAGGAAACATGCTGCTGCTGATTATGTAGGTGATGCTGTTGTTGCTGTGGTGCTTGGTGGTGGTCTGCCTGGTGTCCATGATGTTGAGGTGGATGCTGTTGGAGATGCTGCTGTTGGCCAAACTGTTGCTGCTGCTGATGGTATGGGAGGCTTTGTGCTTTGTTAATATCTCGATGCCTTTCCACAAGCACTTCCTCCCTCCTGCCTCGCCCTCGACCCCGCCCACGACCCCTTCTACTTTCTCCGGGCACTGATCCCATCAGCCCCCTGCAGTAAGGAGGCTCCGGAAGGGGTCGTATGCGAGGTCTACCTCTAGGGCGAGGAGGGCCTTCACGTTTTGGTTTAGTGGGTTTCCTGCCTCTTTTCTTAGGGCCATCATGGAGGAGGAGTTGCGGAGGGTGTCCAAGGGAAGAGTAGCTGGAGGGGTGGCAGAAGTCCATGTCACCCATCAGTGGACTGAGCCCACTTACTCCCCCACCAGCCTTCCTGCAACTAGACACCAAGTCAGGGAGCAGGTCAGGAAGGCGTCGGCTGTTGAGACGAATATCAGCTGGGACATCAGCTTTATCCTCATCATCCTCAAATTCATACTCCTGCGCATAGTTTTTCTTTGTCTGAGGCTGTGGCTCACGTCGTTGTTTGAGCAAGTGAAATGAACTCGTCTTCAGCAGTTTCTTGGGTCGAGATGAACAAAAGATTGGTGAGGTCAGACCAGGAGTGGCTGAACTTCCACCCACTCCCACAGCTCCCATCATTTTGTCAACTGAGCCATCCCCTTGAACTGCTGAACTCAGTCCCATAGTGGGAGTCTGGGACTGAATGAGCCCAAGCTGGTCAGTATTCACAGTAGAAGGAAGCTCTTGGGTCTTCATAGAGTCAAGGTCTAAGTGCAGATTGCCATTTCCTGTTCCTGGAAGGTTGTGACAGTACTGTCCGTAGCCTTGATCACTGTGTTGACCAACCATATCATAGCCCTCTCCTCCACCACCAGTTCTTAAGGCCTCCAAAGCCTCTTGCCCCTGCCCATGACCCTGGGAAAGGCTTTCTTGAGCAGCCTGTCCTGCCCCAGATTCTCCAACACAACTTGACTTGTACTCAGCTGAACAAAACATGTCTTCCATTTCAGGAAAGAAAGAGCGGTCTTCATCATGTAAGAGGGAATCTGGAAAGCAGATGGATGCTAGAGGTGCAAATCGCTGCTGCTGAGCTTGATTCTGTCCTATTTTACCAACTGAGCTCACTGTCTCAAACTGGTGTTGTTTGAGCTGGTCTAACTGGGAGTGTGACAGCTGAGATTCTGACTCTCGTGGTTGAGGCTGTTGCTGGGGATCCCCCATATTTGCTGTCATCCGGTGGGAGTGTGGGTGAGCTAAATGAGAGTTTGACAGCTGATGGTGAGCGTGTGCTTGCTGTTGGTGGTGGGCATGGGATTGAGACTGATTAAGGTGGTGCAGGTGTGAAGGAGGGGGCAAGCCTAAATCTGGTTCAGAGAGGAAGTCATGGAGATCTGAGGATGATTGATGGGGAAGGTGGTGGGGTGTAATTCTGTGCTGCTGTCTATGTCTGTCTCCACTCCCTCCCTCCCCTCCTGTAACAGATACTCCAACCCTACCTCTTTCCAGACCTCCTCCATTGTCTCTGCTGTTTGTCTGGGAAAGAGATTGGTCTAGCATGTCTAGTGGAGACACTGAGTTCTGGTTGGCTTGGATTTGATCTCTTGGTTGGGTTCCAAGGTTGTAGTGAGTATCTATACCCTGGGTCTGGAGCTGGAGTTGCAACTGTGAGGACTGGTTCTGTGTGTGGGATTCCACCCCAGCAGGCGCTGCTCCTCCAGCTGGCCTCATAATGGCCTGCTGACTCAAAGGATGCTGCTGTTGTTGTGCAGGGGCTTGCTGAGGGTCCATCTTGGTGTGTGTGGAATGGGAAAGGACAGACTGCAGCATGTGAGTTTGATGAGGAGGGTCTGGTGGTGAATCCATTAGAGAGAGGGGCACCTGGCTTTGTCGAGTCTGTTGCACATCTGTTGTGTTACACAAGTATGCATTGTCATTTGCATCTGAAGGCTTCTTCAGCTCCATGTGAGGATGGCTGTGTGAGTGGGAATGGGGAAGGCTATGCTGAGAATGTTGTGAGTGTTGTGTGTGTTGAGTGTGCTGAGAGTGCTGAGAGATTTGGGAGTGCTGTGAGTGTTGCTGAGAGTGTGCGGGCACATGTATGGTGTGATGGGAATGTTGGGAATGTGGGTGCTGTGTGTAGCGGTTCCCTCTTCCATAATGGACCACAGAGCCCAGGGACTCTTGCTGTTGTTGATGAGAATGGGAAAGAGAGTCAGTGACCACTCCTGCTTCTCCAGCAGTGGACTTTGTTATAGGTAACTCTGACTTGGTTTGCTGTTGTTTCTTCTGTGATATTTCTAACTGACTGTTTAAGCCACTTGCTGTGTCAACAATTTCTGTCCCAGGACCTGAACTGCTGGCAGTGTTATTGGTACGGATGACACTCTGAAGGTGGTAGCGCTCTTCTGAGAACTTGTTAATGTCATATGCCACCCCCTTGCCTTCCCCATCCCTAGCCTGTGGGAGTGACTGGGGTAATTGCTGAGGAGGGTGACGCTGGGAAGAATGTGGAGTTGAGCTTTGAGTATGAAGTAAGTGGTGGATGAGGAAATCATCATCATCGTCAACTTCATCTTGTGATCGCTGAACTCCCAGCATGTTGGTCTCTGTTTTTGGCTTGGGGGGTGTTGAGTGGTAGGACTGGTCCTGTGCTTGTCGTGTATCAGGGAAACCTGGTGGTGAGGACATGAAACCAGGACAGAGGATTGAGGACAAATATTTGGTGGCCCCTGAGCCTCCAGGGGACTGTGCAGGGCGGGCAGCGGCGGCAGGTGAGTGCAACCCAGGGTGAGTGATTGTAGAACTGATGGAAGGTGAGGAGCTGGACTCAGGCAGGTGGTAAGAGCTGCTACCTCCATTACCAACACTAACAGCCCCACTCCCTGATCCTGCAGAGCCAACTCCACTACCAAGTGCAGAAGTTCCTGATAGAGATCCTGTTGACCCTCCAGTATTCCCGTATCCTAAGGAAGGACTGCCTGTTCTTCTGAGAGAAGCTGAGCCAAAGCTTGAATCACCAAAAATTATCTCTGCAGAGAACGAGCGTCCTCCTGTGCCCATACTAGTAAAAGCTTTCCCTCCACTGCCCGCTGCTCCAGAACTCAGATCCTGGGCATGAGGTGAGTTGAAGCCACCATAAGACTGGCCCATGTGTGCAGATGGAGGCTGATTAGGAGAATAGGACTGGGCTTGTTGCTGTGGAGGGGTCTGGTCTGGTAGGCCTGCACTAGAGTTGGCCACAGAGGGAGAGCCATAGGTGGAGAGGCATTGTTTGGGTGCTGGCTGTGGAACAAGTGAAGGTGGTGCCGGTGTTGACTGAGGTGGGGGCTGCTGACGAGAGGGAGCAGACAAGGAGCCAGTGCTTGTCTTGGAGCTAGAAGCCAATGAGGAGGAGGTGGAGGAGGCTGATGGTGGAGTATGTGGGGTACGAGAAGAGGATGATGCTGAACCTGAAGAGGAGTAGCCACTACTGGAGCTGGAACTTTTGACCCCCTTGGTGCCAGATGAGGAAGGGGCTGAAGAGCTGGAGGATGAGGGTGTATATGCAGTTTGAATAATAGGTCGATATGTCTGGGATTCCAGCTGTGGTGAGGGATTGGGGTCAGAGGATGGGGTCTGCTCCGCCAGGGGACTGCAGGGCAGTTCAGCATGCCGGTGGTGGTTGGCTAGTTGCTGGTAACCCGATGACCCACCACAACTAACATATTGCTGTAAGGGGAGCGTTGTGGACTGGGCTGGGGATGAGCGTTGGTAATGCTTGATCACACTGTCCTGTCGGGAAATCGACCTCTCTGGAGGAGGTGGGGGCTGAAGGGGGACCACAGATGGTGTGGAAGAGAACATGGAGGCATTATAGAGCTGGGAGGACTGGTTGTGGAGCTGAGAGGACAACAGGTTAAACTGGGGAGGGGGTAGGTGGCAACTGGAGGAGCTGGAAGGGGCTTGAGTCTGTGGAGGGGCCGGAGGCTCTTGTGAGCCCCGATAGGTGGCACTCTGGGAAGACAGCAAGCGATCAAAGCCCAAGGTGGATTGGGAGGGTGTTTTAATGTGCAGCAGGGGATCATGGGGAGATAGCAAACCATTGGAAGTTGGGCTAAATGTTGGAGTGTCCTGCAGGGAAAGTGAAGGAGTGAAAGATCGTCCAGAGAAGGAGCCAGGATGCTGGTATGCAGAAAGGGCTGAGGATGGGGGGAAGGAGCTGGAACCCGGAAGTGCTCCTGAAATAAAGAGGTCCGGTGGGGCTGGTGTATGCATTGCTACAGGACACAACATTACAGTGTTGAACAGTGTTGATCAATGCAAGTCACTATTCAAACTGACCAAATTAACAAATTTTAATTTGATACTACAAAGACTTTACATATTTTTGCTAATGAAATTAATGTAAATTATTGCACACTTTTTAAATTAATAAACAAAAGTACTACAAGAGCCAGTAGTAACAAGAACCAATGACACATGATTTTTTTCTTTTTTTCAAGTGTAGCATTCCCTTAACAGGCTGACACTCACCAGTCTGCCAAGAGGGAGTGCGAAACTGGGAGAGGAGGGAGGAAGCAGAGGGTGGGGGCTGTGAACCCCGGGACTCCAGAGCTGAAATCAGATTCATGACGGAAGGGTCAGGACCCGAGGGGCTGGCATGGTGGAGGCTGGCATCAAACAGCCCCGAGAGGCCTGGCAACAAACCACAGAATTCATTTAATTTATACAAATCACTTCACAGATGGATGGACTTCACAGATCACGTTGTTTATCAATATTATCATAATGACAATGATATATTATGTATGTTTGATTTATGCGTGTAATGAGTTAAAGCTATCAATTAACCATGGGGCAAAAAATTCTCCACAGTTTGATGTGTGTCTTGGTAGCGGAGGAGCCGTAAGAGACCACTGCAAA